CGGCCTGGACATGGCTCATGCCTCGATCCTTCCCTCTGCCCAGCACCACTCCTCCTACATGTGGCTCTGCTGCTGCTCAGGGCACTGATTGCCACCTGGTACTTTAAGGTCTGTGCCCTCTGCTCTAGAGACTTCATTAGGTTTTTCTCTAGGAGGCAGGAGGACAGAAGGTATAAAAGCCTGGACATTAGAAACTTAGAGCCACAAGTCTTGAACAAACCTATGAGTCCAGTTTTCTCTTCATAAAATGGGTGAACACACCTATCTTCGGGATTTCTGGGAAGTAGCATAGCATGAAGTATATTGAAAGTCTTTAGGCCAGTGTTGACATCAGTAAGCCTCGTGTCAGTGCTACACCTCTTCATGCTGTTGGCGGTCCTTGCTGGAACCACTTTGGTGTTTACTGCTGCAAACCCTTACCACACTGAAAAATCAACAGCAGTGGGAAAGAGGATTCAAATCGACCTTCCTAGACTCTTTTTAAAGAAATGATCAAAAATGAATTTGTCGACTAGGTTAAGTTCAGCTGTGTTAGAAATCCAAACCCAAACTGGCATGAATTGAGGGGTTTTAGTGATCCTAAAGGTCAAGAGAAAAAAGAAATAGATAGCTATCTTTGCAAAAATGATGTGTTTTTGTTATTTTGGAAAATCTGGAAGAGAGATGGTATACCTTAGGGATAAGGATCAAGTACGTACAGTAAAACACATAGATATTATACAGCTTGCTAATCTTTTAGACACATTACAGTCTTTTAGTCAACACCCAGGTGACAAGAGAGAATGTTTCCACCATCTCAGGTAGTGACCTCCCAGGCCTTCCATTCAGCTTATTGCGAGAGTGGCCGTTATGCTGACCCTTGTCCCGGTCCATGTTTCCTGCTCTTTCCCATCCATCTGTATTTCCTGGCTTTTCCTCGCATCATGTGATATTTAGTACATCACATTTGACCCCTGTCACTCATCAGTGAGCACACAGTTGTGTCCATGCTGACACACAGCAGCCGTCCAGTTTTCCTGCTGCCCTGTCACATAAGTTTAGTGCCACAGCCTGTCCTTTGCACCCTGGGGAGGGAGACCCTGGTGTTTCCAGTTGGGGATTTTAGGACTGAAACTGCTATGAAGATGCCCTTCGGAGGACACAGCACTTGTTTCTTGGTTTATACAGTGTGCATGGCTTTCATGGAGGGGCATTTTTAGGCCCTCACCGGTCCCATGTTGACAAGAGGAAAGGGTAGAACTGGAGACTTGGGTAGTTTTACATAAATTGTTGGAAAGAGGCTTGATTTAACTTAAAGAAAAACACAGAATATGTAATCTGGTTGCATGAAGAGCCGGTTAGGAGAGAACACGCCTCTGTTCAGTGGACAGGACGTGCTCTGTCTCTGTGGAAGTAAATGTGAATTCTACAACTGAAACATTCAGCCAGAATCACGTGCCTGTGCTGTCACAGGAGTCTAGGGGACTCTGCTTGTCTGACCTTCCACAGGAGTCAGCTGTGGCCCGCGGGATGCTCAACTCCTTTGGGTTAAATTAGCTAAGAGGGAAATGAGGATGCGCTCTGAGAAATTCAGGCAGAAAACCAAGTTCAGCTAAGTGGGAACTGGGAAACCTGTCCTGTGAGAAAGAGGTGAAGAAGCTGACACAATGTAGCCGAGATGGGGAACAGAGGAAAAAGATGACTGAGCCTGCCCTGTGGGTGGGATTTTAGAAGAACATTCAGACTGACAGTTCCTCTCCTGGGAAGACTGCAAGCATTAGGTTCTGCTGTGCTCAAAGTACTGCATTTAAAGAAGCACCACATGATATGAGGGATTCTCAGCTACTTGCTGGAGAGGAAATTGTGCTGTTCTTTAGCAAGAAATTGTCTAGGAACAGTAACACTCTGTGTAGAGTAATCAGAACATTTTGGTGGAATAAAGGGAGCTGGGACAGATAATTTGGGGAGTCTTCATCTCAGTTATTACATATATAAATATGTAATGAGATATACATATCAAGCATTTCTGATAAATTCTAATTTGATAAATGAGCAATGTCTTGCAATATGAGTAGTGTGTGAAGAAAGGTTCTACCGTATATGGAGAAGGGTTACAGTCAAAGAAAGGCACAGGTGTAATAGAGAAAGCCTATCTATTTTGGTAACTTTAAGCGAGTTTCAGTTTAGAGACGCTCATTTTGTTTTTCTGTATTTTGATTACTCTGTTAAACAATGCTAGAATTATCACTTAACCTTCATGTAGACAGTGTCACACAACCCAACTTGTTATTGTAGGTTGTCTGAACAGAAACTGTGTATTTCACTTTGTACAGGCTTTTTTCTTGGTATTACTTGTCTGGAAAAACATCTTCCTAGTCTACACTGGATGTTGACCTCTTGAAAATCACTTTCTCACACAGCTAGCTCCTTATGCTTACAACATCAGTCTGGAGGGTTCCCCAGGGGAGCCATGGGTTTCCCTTTTCCTGAGGTTTTGTGGCCTTCAGTTTAGAGGGCTCTCCTGAGGTGCTGTGGACTTCTAGTTCATTGTTGATCCAACGAACGCCTTCATGAGGAACCGCAGGATTAAGTTTTCCTTAATCCTTGTAAAGTTTTTTAAATTGCCTGGCACTGAGTAACCATTCAGTGTGTGGTAGCTCTTATTCCTGTTCCTCCGCGGCTTCATGTGGGGCCTCCATGTGCATATGTAATACTGTGCTCGGTTCTAAGAAATGAGGGAGGTGAACTTGTCTAATTGGGCAGGCCCAAGGAGAACTAACGTGATCATGCAGAAAGATTATAGAAACTTCAAAGTATAGTTTTGGAAAATCTCTTTAAGTCTAACCAATGCACAATGGAAAACCCCTAAAGAACCAATCTAATTAGTCAATTAAATGGAACCATTCTGCTGACTTTTACTACAGAAGGCAAGCATAATTTAGAAAATGGGGCATTTTAATTCTCTTTTGTTTTCCAATTAACACAATTGCTCTAATGGAGAGTGCTCGTGCTCAGTCCACGTTCTTGGAGCATGTATTCTCCACCTGATGGCTGTGTCTCTCACAGAGGCTGAGCTCCTCACCTGTTGACCCAGAGGCTTGCTACTGTGGGGCTCACGGTGCCCCATTATGGTCCCGGGCCTGCCCGCCATGCCACTGCCTGGCCAGTAATTAGGGTGTGGGAGGCGGCAGCTCTCACTTTTCTGCTGACGCCAGCTCACTAGAGCAGACCACATGAGTTTACTCTTAGCCGGGAATGAGGAAGAAAATGCTAAGAACACTGATTTTAATTGGTCGACGTGATTTGGATTGAGTGCCACTGCTTGATAGTCCTGTTTTGGATTTCTTTCTGCCACAAGCCATCAGCTTGTTATGTGTGACAGATATTCTGTTTGCTTTTGATGATTATTTGAACAAATTTAAGCCTTTTCTGTTTGCTGTTAGCTTATTTCATCTGCCCTGATAGTTATTAAATTCCCTACAAAAGGCTGGCATTTTCACACTGCAGGGAAGGTATGTTGTCGTCAGAGGGCCCTCAAGACTGGGAGGAATGGCAGGGATTTCTCTCTTCCTCTTCCTTAGCTGCTTGCTTCGGTGCTCTGTTAGCTTGGAAGCAGCAGGTAGCCATGGGCAGTGAGCCTGGTGGTGCGGTGGTGGACGGCTCTATGAATAGCTCCTTAATGAAACAAGACAGGCTTTCTCCTGTGCTGATTGGAGTGGTTCTTCCTGAATGCTGGGAAATGTTTAATTTGTGACTCTAATATGACAGGATTGCATAACACAGGATGATAGAAAGAGGAATGTATAATTTAAAAGGTGAGCTCGGCCTTCTAGGTGTTGGGAGGGTACAGGAAGCCAGGCGGGGCTGAGCACAGGCCAGGGTGGTCGTCCAGGGAGGGATCTGGGTCCGGGCTTGGAGTTCCGAGATGTGAGGTGTGCACAGTGGGTGGCCGGACTCCTTCTCAGGGTCAACTGTGGTCCTTGTCACACAGGCCTCAGGGGAAGGCGGTTCTTCTTGCTGTCCCCTGGTATCACTTTCTTTCTTTGTCCAGACAGCAGAAGTCACTAAATTAATGAGAGAAGAGGACATTGTTTCATGCGGAGTGACAGTGGTGGAGATATAATGATGATGGAATAGGCTTTGTCTCATGAGAGTTGTTTTGTTTTTTTTAATGAGAGGGGAATAGGTAGAAATAAAAGAGAAGTTAATTACAATGACTAGAAGACCTTGAAATGAATAAACAGAAATTAGGGAGTGTGCACAAAATAGAGGAGGAGTTTATGGTGATATTGAGAATGTCCACTGAGTATGACAGTTATTTAAAATTCAGTTTAAGAAACAATTTCACCCCTAAATTACTTTGAAGATTATTGTATTTTTAAAGCCTTGTTTAAGGATCAGAATCAGAACTCAAAGCAAGTGTGTTCCTAGTGTTACCAAGGATTGGTTTCCCGGTTCACAGCAGCCCGCTCCAAAGCACGCGAAGCCGGCCCTGTGCTTGGCATCTCCCAAGTGTGGCTCTGAGCTGCGGGCGGTGGGCAGCGGGCCCTCTGTTGACCTGGAGTGCAGTGGGTGGGCTGGCCGGGACAGGGGCGCCCTGGCCTGAGAGCCTGCGCCTCCCGGAGTGCACCCAGGCCCCCGCACGCTGGCCCTGGGAGGGTGGCCCCTCACCTTGCTTGACCATGATGAGAGTGAGCAGAGCCGCTCAGGAGAGTCCACCCCTCCCCTGTGCCCCCAGAGACGTGGCAGCAGAGCTTGGTGTGGTTGATGGGGTGGAAGCCGAAGCCGTGGAAGCCGGAGCCAGGTGACTTGGGCAGCTGATGGCACTGCCTTCGTGCCCAGGAACCTGCGTGCCCACAGCCAGGACCCCCAGGACCCTGGTTTTGTAGCCAAGAGTCGAGCACCTGGCTTTCCAGTGGCCGTGGTGTCCCTTGAGGGCTGGACAGGTGACACACCCTGGAAGGCTGAAGGCATGCGCAGGTAAACCGAGTCACGTGTCATCATGTCCCCTCTGTCCCCAGGTCCTCCACCGACAGCAGTCCCAGCCCACCAAGGAGAGCTCCCCGCCCCGGGAAGAGGCGCCCCCTGCGCCCCCTCCAGCCGACGACAGCTGTGCCAAAAAGCCCCGCTCACGCACCAAGATCTCCCTGGAAGCACTGGGCATCCTGCAGAGCTTCATCCACGACGTGGGGCTGTACCCCGACCAGGAGGCCATCCACACGCTGTCCGCGCAGCTGGACCTGCCCAAGCACACCATCATCAAGTTCTTCCAGAACCAGCGCTACCACGTCAAGCACCACGGCAAGCTCAAGGAGCACGCGGGCTCCGCCGTGGACGTGGCCGAGTACAAGGATGAGGAGCTGCTCACCGAGTCCGAGGAGAATGACAGCGAGGACGGCCCCGAGGAGGTGTACCGGGTGGAGGCTGAGGAGGACAGCAGCGACAGGGCCAAGGCCACACCCGCCGAGGGCGACCAGAGATGATGGGGCCGGCCCGTGGCCTCACCCGAGGGTCTTCGCGCCCCTCTCCACAGACGTCCTCGGCTTCGTTTTCTGTTTGTCCTTCTGTGTCTGTCTGTCCGTGCCGTCGTGACACCCTCAGCTGCACAGGACAGGCCGAGGCTGAGCCCGGGCCTTCTCAGAGGCCGCCTTGGCAGAGACCCGCGGCCCTGTGCGCGGCCGGCACGCGCGTGTGCACATGAACCTGTGTCTGCATCCACAGACCTCCACTCCCCGCTCCGACAGGCCGGGTGGTAGCAGCCTGCAGTGAGCTCTCCAGAGAGGGTGCGGCCATGCTCAGAACCACTTCCACGGCCGCCGTGGCTTCTGGGACCTGCGGCCTGCTCAGGGTGGGTGGGGTGACTAGTTTTTGAATTCCTATTTATTTTTTTGTGTTTGTCCCTGATTCTTTTTAATTCTATGGCTTCCTATCCGGCAGCTTCATGGGTAATTTTTGAGGTATGTATTTAACAAAACAAATCAACACTGCCAAAAAAAGGAAAGAAGAAAGCAAGTGAAACAAATCAGGGCAAATTGAAATGCTACAAGTGAAATTACTCATAGAGACGCAGTGCACACTTGAGTGACTCCGTGGCGGACTGGTCGCCCGCCCGTCCGTCCGTCCGTCCGTCCGTCCGTCCCGTTTGGTCCTCCCCTGTGAATGGGTCTGCCATGGACACCAGTCGAGGAGGCGCCCACTCCTTGCAGGACCAGCCGCAGCAACGCCCCCGGGATCCATGCGGAAAACTCGCTTCACTGCAGTGGCTTCCCATCTTAGACTATTAAGCCTGCTCATTTAAAAGTCGTTCCTTGTTGTTGCTTTCCTTTTGTTCTGTTCTGTTTTTAAAAATAGAAAATAGCTGGATGTAAGGTTAAATTAGGGAAGAAGCCGCCCCAGCCTGAGGGGCTGCCCCGCCCACAGGGTTTCTCATTTCCCAGCACTCCAGACTCCGCCTCTTCTCAGCATTCCCACCTGGGCGGCGCCCACCTCGGCCCTGCCCGGCCGCACCCCTGGCCGGAACCTGGTTGGAACCCCCGTGTGCAGCTCCAGGCAGCAGAGTAAGTGCAGCGGCTTCGGCAGGGTCACCTCCGGGCGCAGAAGGGGGTGCCCCCCCCCCCCGCCGCGCCCGAAGGCCAGCAGCGGCCTGTCCTTGTCCTTCCGCAGGTGCAGGAGGAGACCTCATCCTCGGACGGCCCGGGTCCTGGTCCTGCGGCCTCCCTGCCGTTCACAGCCCCATGTGGGTGGATTGTTTTCAAGTCGTGTCTCATGCAACCTTGTCAAAGACCTCATGCAATATCACTTTGAAAGTTATTTTCTGTTTACCACACAAGCATTGTAATATAACTGTTAATACTATTTATATATTTGAAAGGTATAAAAGGTAGGAGTTTAAAAAAAACCTCTATGTGTAGATATTAACTCAGAACTTACAATACACAGGGAGAAGACACGTTGCAATACAAGCTAACTCTAGCTGCTCAGTAACCTCTGGAGTTTTTAAGGGGACATTTTCCTGTACTTTTTCCAATAATGACGTTTAAAACCTTACCTTGCCATGAGCGTACGTATCTGCGGAGGGGCGGCAGTCGGCAGGGAAGCCGCCCTCCACCTCTGTCTGTAGATGCTGCAGCTCTAATCGGAAGCCGTGGCTGCTGCTTCCCGAGCTCCGAGTTACTGTCCACCCTGTCTTCTCTCGCTGTTGCTGAAGGTCACTCTGCACACACCCTAGGAACCGGTTTCGCCAAGCTCTTACCAGGTGGCTCATCGCTCGATGACATCCGCATTGGGTATCTTTTACACTTCAACCAAAAATTTATTAGGTATTTTTCAATGCTAAGTCTTGCCTTTTATTTTTTAAGTTCACTGCCAAGTGTGCAGTGGTTCTAAGTGAATCTGTGGGCATTTTAGCCTGTGGTCTTGCCAGATTTTTGCGAATTACAATGCATATATGTCTATTTATTCAATATCTGTCATATAATATCTATTTGGAAGAAGAAACTTTCTCTTGTAGTGCCTCTTGACAAAGCACAATTTCCCGCCTTTTTTTGTGAAATGAGAAGAAAAAACAAATTGTGTTTTATTGCAGTATCAACAATGTGAATAAGGATTAACATATTGTAAATGTTCTTTTTTCCATGTAAATCAACTATCTTTGTTATCACTAAGTGATAATTAATTTTTAACTTATGTGCATTGTTAGGCTGTTAGAATTTTTTGGTTGTTAAAATAAAACGCATTCAATAAATCTGACTTTGTTCGGCAAGTGTGTTCCTGGTTAGGTCGTCGTGGAGAGAGACCCACAGCGGCCCAGGGAGATCTGTGCCTCCCTCTGGAAACGACACGACAGCACCCACACTTGCAGATGTCTGTGTGAGCGTGTGCGTGACCACATGCTCACGCATCCTGGAGCTGGCAACCGGGGGAGCCGTTTATCCAACCATTCTGTCGCACACAAAGCTCAAATGTATCAAGATGCATTTATGGGCCCACTTCTTTATTTTTCTAGTGAATATTTTCTGTTTATAATTAAAAAACCACAAATGACTGCGTGTCAGGAAACTTTTGGAGCACACATGTCCATGGTTAATGGACATAATAAAAGTCCTTTCTATTTAGAGCTGGGGTCCCATCATGTGTGCATAGAGGAATGCCGGAAGGATTGATGTATCTGAGAAATGTGCAAAAATGATTTTTTAGAAAGTGCTTACCATGGAAAAAGTTAGTCAAAGGACTCGTGTTCATAAGGAGAGAGCAAGTGCTAGGCTTCAGGACCAGCAAAGAGAAAGTCAATTAAAAAGTGATTTCGTTTTCCTTCGACAGTGTAAATGCTTCCCTGCCTTGCGCTTTCATTTCCCTGCATTTGGTGTAAGTTCTCTCCCCTCTTTCCATGCTGGGTGAACCCCCACAGCCCTGGGAAGCTGTCTTGAGGCAGCTGGGCGTGGAGAGCCAGGGGCTTTCGAAGAGCAGGAGGCCGGCTCCCTCCCCAGAGCCACATGGGTGGGTAAAGTGGGGTGGAAGGGCCAGGCCGGTGCTGCAGCTCAGCTGTTCCACATGTGTAGGAGATCACAGGCTTGAGATAGGACCAGGGCAGAAAGCATCTGTGAGACAATTTGCCCCGCATTCAGTACCAGGAACTTTCGCATTCCTGAGATAGTGTTTCTCTATTTTTTGTTTGAGACAGGGACTTGTTGTATAGTCCAGGCTAGCCTTGAACTCACTATGTAGCCAAGCTGACCTTGAACTGGCTGGCGGTGATCCTCCAGCCTCAGCCTCCAGAGTGCTGGGAAGATAGCCATGGGCCACCACACCCAGCCCGAGCTGGCGTTTTTAGGGAGTCAGACTTCACCACAGATACACTCCAGAGTGGCCACCCTGCCCTCAGGGAGACAGGGCTGCCCTGGTGCTGCCCACTCCTGTTTTCCAGAAGGCAGAGAGATGCCGACTCCTGACCCTGTGAAAGTCCTGTGGACGGAGCCCGGAGCTGTCCCATCACTGCAAGATTTGCACACGCGTGCACACACGCACACAGAGGGTGTGCTTCCTTTACACTGTTAGTTTCCTTCCTGGAGAGCTTTAAATAAAACATTTCAAGTCCTCTCCATTCTTCCTGAAGGACAATCATGGAGCATTTACTGAACGCCTCACACCGGACCTGGGTGACCAGGACTCGGTCCCTAAGTCCTAGGCCCCCGGGAGGCTCTGAACCCATGGAGAGGGGTGGCAGAAATCCAGGAAGATGGAGTGGGATGGTGTCTGCAGACCGCATCCTTCCGCGCAGTGAAGTTCGAGAAACATTGTCATCAGAAGGTGGGTCAGTGATGACCGGCTGGTTGCATAGAATAGAAGAGCACAAGGTGGCCATGAGAAGACGAAGGGAACAAGGTCTACTCACATACAGGAAACCGTGGAGCTGTGCTGGCTCCGTGAAGTGATCAGAGAACAATCCCGACCCTTCCAGCTCCTGTTTGTCCCTGGCTTCCCTCTTCATGGTCCAACATGACTGCTGGAGCTCTTGCCATTGCATCCACCTTCATCACACTAGGAATGACATATTCCTTTTTTTTCATGGGCACCTGGACTTTCTCAAGCCCTATGCCTGTGTGAAGGGAGGCTGGTAAGTGTTCCTACCTGAGAAAAGGAGGGAATGGATTTGTGGTAGACAGTGAATAGTCCCTGGCACAGAGGTATCAAGGAGGGTGTTGGAAGTAGCAGCTAGGAAGAGGGTAGGTGAAGCACGTCTGCCCTGCTGTGAGCCCCACGTCCTGCACCTCTTCCTTCGCCCCGCTCAGTTTCTTCCTGGCTGGCTTTCCGGTCTGTGGAAGCATCGCTTCTTCCGGAAGCCTCCCGACTCTGCCCTGCCAGGGCGTCGGACACCCTGCGAGCCCATGTGGCTCTGAGTCCTGGAGACCCAGCGCATGGCCAGTTCAGGCGCAGTCGGCAAACACAGAGCAGGATTGGCTGTGGCACAGTGGGAGCCAGCAGGAGGCCAGGGCCCGGGCGGGAGGGAGCCCCAGGGCCGGCCTGCACCCCAAACCCACTCTCGTGGATTCAGTCATTCAGGCTACTCTCGGTTCACTCACTGCCTAGTGACTTCTGCACCTTTCCAAGTGGGACAACAAACTTCAGTAGGAGTAAAGCACATTCTTCCACAGATTTTCCAGATTCTCTTTCTGTTCTTAATACGCTTGCAGACTGAGATGTGAAGAGCCGAGCCTGTCCCTACGATGAGTCCCATCAGACTTCATGGCTCGCAGGTACCCGTGCCGCTCTCTGAGCACACCCTGGGTGCCCATGGCACCCGGCCACTTCCTGTCTCCGGGCCCTGGTTGGGGTCCGCCCATGGGCTCTGGTGACAGCGTGGCAGCGGTGAGGTAGAGAAAAGCCTGAAGTTTGAAGTGGACTGGAGCCACAGCATGTGAGTTCTGATGGCGAATCCAGTGTCTCCGGTCAGTGTGCACCGCAGGCCTCATGCTCTGCACCTGAATCCGCGCTGGCAGAGCTCGCCGGGAACTCTAGGCTCCACAGCTGGAAGATGCTTTGAAACTGTGTGACTTGTGGAAACATTGTGTGGCTGTCACAGGAAATGGCCAAACACCGATTGAGGACTTCTTGTAACTCCTTTCACGATGAACTTTCAGGACCCTGGAGAAAGCAAGCCGCAGGAAGCTCTCACACCCTCCTGCAGATGGCTCCTGCGTGCAGTGCACGGCCCCTCAGCAGGAGCGTCCTACAAGCACAAAGGGGCCTCCATTTTGAGCCGAAATGGTTCTGGACACTGTTAAACTAATTACAAAATAAATCTTTGTTTTTCATAACCCCAGAGTGAAGCTGAGTTCTTTAGCTTGGTTTGAAAAGCTGAGCATCAGACAGTGAGCCCCTGAGAGAGGGCCCTTCGCCCCGTTTCTAGATCCCACTCATCTTAGCAGGTCCACGGCCTGCAGCAGACGTCTTGAGGGAAGACTCTGGCCGTGGGCGCTGGCCCATGCCTCCAACCCTGCACTCTGGGATGCTGAGTCGCGACGACTGCAGGCTCAAGCCCAGGGTGGCCAAAATAGGGCCTCAAAATAAGAAAGAAAAAGAGGGTTGGTGTGTAGCTCAGTGGGAAGGTCCTGGGCCCTGGTACCACACAGGCACACACGCACGCACACACACAGATTCAGGCCACAACTCAGCAGGGATGGAGGCTGTGCATGTGGGGGCTGTTTAAAGGGCAATGGAAGGACACGGAGTCTTCGTGCTTGGCCATGCAGTTCTGGGGAAAGGAGAAAAGGGAGAGGGGACACAGCCCTGCGGGGATGGGTGCGACATTGTTCCCTCAGGGTGACGTCCTTGCGGGGTTTCCTGAGTCAGAGACAAAGAGTGAAAGGCATGGTGAGAGACAGGTGTTTTGAGGCCGGCAAATTCAGTCTCACTAAGAAATGACAGAGCCAGGGTTAAAGGCCAGATCTGCATGGCTCCAATGCTTGTGTTTCTCCATGCCTCACACCACACCTGCTGCTGTGCCCTAGAACATCATAGAAAGGCTCTGTAAGAAAAGCTTCCATTGATTGGCCAGCAGATTGTGTATGAGTTGACCATGTAACTCCTCTTAGCATACATTTTCATAGTGTCGTCCATGATTTCTGAAGAGTTTGTTTCAAAGGAAAAATAAAATCTAGTTTTTAAAAGCACCACACTCTGTGTTATGGTTTAGATCTGAAATGTGTCCCCAAATTTCCTCTGTTCAGAGGTGAGTGATTGGATCATGGGGTGCTGTGCTCACCAGTGGATCCATCTATGGATGAGTTCATGGCTGAATGTGCTGTAGGAGGTGGGGCCGGGCTGGAGGAGGTCACTGTGGCTGTGACCTGGAAGGGTGTGTCCTTGTCTCAGCTCCTCCCTTCTCTCTGTTTCCTGGCCACCATGACATGAGCAGCTACCCTCCGCCAGGCCCCTCTGCTATGCCATTTCCCTCAAAGCCAGCTGACCGTGGACTGGACCCTCTGAAACTGTGAGCCAAAATAAACCTCTCTTCCTTTATGTTTTGGATCTTGGGTATTGTGTCTCCACAATGGGAAATGTGACTAACACATTCTGCTAGTATAACTGTTCCAGAAGAGTGCAGAAGTAGTTTCTTAGGGGACATTTAAAAGGAAAACTGGAGAAATAGTTCCAGATGGAGAAATAATTACAAAAATATTCCATTAGCACTGTCGTAAGTAGTGCAGAGCAATGATTAATTAAAGGGATTGGTATAATTTATTCACTACCCATTAACGAGTGCAGCCCTGTTTCTACACAGATGGCACGGGCAAAGGGGTCCCTGGGAGGCTCGGTGGAGACTGGACTGAGCAGGCAAGGAGCCCCTCAAGGGCAGGTAAGGGAAAATCTTCACAACTTGAATGTGCAAAGAGGCAGAGCTCTTTCTGACTGTGCAGCTTGAGTCAGGTATTTCAGATCTCTGGTTTCCTTATGCGCAAAATAGGGCTATTGATGTCTAAATCTCCAAGTTTCTGTGATCAAAAATACCTTGCAGAAGATCTAGAATAATTCCTATCTTCCTTTCTTTCTTCTTTTCTTGGAGGAAAATGAAAGCAGGAAATAATCAAATCTTCTTATACATAGATGATTTAAAAATAATTCTGATGAATTTTAGAACAGGATAAAACCTGGTGCTTAATTTCTTTATGTGATTTAAAACCTTTCGTACCCAGTTTCTGGCAAGATTAAGCATTTGAGTCA